TTCTAGATCCTCATAGGCCTTAGGGGCCTTATTATGCACCTCAGGTATCTAGCGCGCCTTCTGCGAGGGATGCTTTCAGAGGTCAGTCCAACAGACCTGGCCCGAGCCAGTCACAACCACCATGTCCTCCTAAAGCTTGTTTTGAGTGTGGTGACACACGCCACGTGGTGAGGGATTGCCCTAGACTTGGGAGGAGTGCGCCTCCACAAACTTCTCAGCCACAGCGCACTCCGCAGAGTTCTTAGGCTATGGTTACAGCTCCAATTGCTACCCCACCTACTCATCCAGCCAGAGGTGGAGGTCAGGGAGGTAGAGGTCTCCCTAGAGGGGGAGGCCAGGACCGATACTATGCCCTTCCTGCCCGCACCGAGGTTGTTGCCTCCGATTCTATCATCACAGGTATTATACTGGTTTGTCATAGAGATGCATCGGTTTTATTCAATCCATGCTCTACTTACTCTTATGTGTCTTCTTATTTTGCTCCACATTTGGGTGTACCTCGGGATTCTTTAAGTTCCCCTATTTATGTTTCTACTCATGTGGGAGATTCTCTTGTTGTGGACCGCACGTATCGGTCGTGTTTGGTTGCTCTTAGTAGTTTTGAGACCAGAGCCGATTTATTATTGCTCAACATGGTAGATTTTGATATTATCTTGGGCATGGACTGGTTGCCGCCCCATTATGCTATTCTTGATTGTCACGCCAAATTTGTGACAGTGGCTATGCTAAGTGTATTGCGTGTTGAGTGGAGGGGTACTTTAGATCACACTCTCAATAGAGTTATTTCTTTACTTAAGGCTCATTGAATGGTTGAGAATGGGTGTGACGTGTATTTAGCTTATGTGAGAGATATCAATATTGATACCCCTTTAGTTGATTCAGTCCTAGTAGTACGAAATTTTCCCGATGTGTTTCCAACTGATCTTTCGGGCATGCCTCCTGATAGAGATATTGATTTTGGAATCGATCTATTGCCGGGCACTCAGCCCATTTCTATTTCTCTGTATCGTATGGCTCCTTCTGAGTTGAAGGAGTTGAAGGATCAGTTATAGGAATTGCTTGATAAGGGTTTTATTCGGCCCAATGTATCACCTTGGGGTGCTCCTGTCTTGTTTGTGAAGAAAAAGGATGGTTCTATACGTATGTGTGTTGATTATCGCCAGTTGAACAAGGTTACAATGAAGAAGCGTTATCCTTTGCCTCGTATTGATGATCTGTTTGAATACCTTCAGGGCGCACGAGTGTTTTCTAAGATTGACTTGCGCTCAGGTTACCATCAGTTGAAGATTCAGGAGCCAGATATCTTGAAAATTGCTTTTAGGACTCGATATGGTCATTATGAGTTCCTTGTTATGTCATTTGGGCTGAGCAATGCCCCAACATCCTTTATGCATTTGATGCACAGTGTGTTCCGGCCGTAACTTGACTCGTTCATCATTGTCTTTATTGATTATATTCTAGTGTATTCCTAGAGTCGGGAAGATCATGAACAACACCTGAGGACAGTGCTTCAGGCCTTGAGAGAAAAGAAGTTATATGCTAAGTTCTCGAAATGTGAGTTTTGGTTGGATTCTGTGGCGTTCTTAGGCCACATGGTGATGAGTGAGGGTATTCAGCTGGATCTGAAGAAAGTAGAGGCCGTGCAGAGTTGGCCCATACCATCCTCAACTATAGAGATCTGCAATTTTCTTGGCTTAGAGGGTTATTTCCGTCATTTTGTAGAGGGGTTTTCATCAATTGCATCCCTATGACCAGACTGACCCAGAAGGGTGCTCCATTCTAGTGGACGGAAGAGTGTGAGGCAAGCTTTCAGAAGCTCAAGACAGCTCTGACTACAGCCCCAATTTTGATAATGCCTACAGGTTCGGGGTCTTACACTGTCTATTGTGCTTCCTCGAGGATTGGACTTGGAGCGGTTTTGATGCAGGACGGTAGGGTGATTGCCTACGTATCCAGACAGTTGAAGGTTCACGAGAATAATTATCCGGTCCACGACCTTGAGTTAGCTGCCATTGTTCACGCCATGAAGATCTGGCATCATTATTTGTACGGGGTTCCTTGTGATATTTATATTGATCATCGGAGCTTGCAGCACTTGTTCAAGCAAAAGGATCTAAATTTGTGCCAGAGGAGATGGTTAGAGTTGTTGAAGGACTATGATATCACTATTTTGTATCATTCGGGCAAGGCCAATATGGTGGCCGATGCCTTGAGTCGCCGAGCAGAGAGTTTGAGGAGTTTGGCTTATTTACCAGCATCGGAGAGGCCTATGGCGATGGATGTTCAGGCCATAGCCAGCCAATTTGTGAGATTAGATCTTTCGGAGCCCAGTCGGGTTCTAGCTTGCGTGGTTTCTCTGTCTTCCTTATTTGATCGTATCAGGGAGCGTCAATATGATGACCCTCATTTGCTTGTCCTCAAGGACAAGGTTCATCATGGTGATGCTAGAGATGTGATTATTGGTGATGACGGGGTATTGAGGATGCAGGGTTGGATTTGTGTACCCAATGTTGATGGACTTTGGGAGTTGATTCTGGAGGAGGCCCACAGTTCGTGGTATTCCATTCATTCGGGTGCCGTGAGGATGTATCAAGATTTGAGGCAACACTATTGGTGGAGGCGGATGAAGAAAAATATAGTTGGATTTGTAGCTCGGTGCCTCAACTGTCAGCAGGTGAAGTATGAGCACTAGAGACCGGGTGGGTTGCTTCAGCAGATAAAGATTCCAGAGTAGAAGTAGGAGAGGATCACCATGGACTTTGTAGTTGGGCTCCCACGGACTTTGAGAAAGTTCGATGCTATTGGGGTGATTGTGGATCGGCTGACCAAGTCCGCGCACTTTATTCCTGTGTGTACTACTTATTCTTCGGAGCAGTTGGTAAAGATCTATATCCGGGAGATTGTTCGTCTGCATGGTATTCCAATTTCCATCATTTCCGATAGGGGTACTCAGTTCACATCATGATTCTGGAGGGTCGTTCAACATGAGTTGGGTACTCGGATGGAGTTAAGCACAACATTTCACCCTCGGACGGACGAACAGTCTGAGCGCACTATTCAAATTCTTGAGGATATGCTCCGTGCGTGTGTGATTGAGTTTGGAGGGTCTTGGAATCAATTCTTGCCATTTGCGGAGTTTGCCTACAACAACAGCTATCAGTCCAGCATTTAGATGGCACCGTATGAGGCTTTATATGGTAGGCGGTGTAGATGCCCGGTGGGTTGGTTCGAGCTGGGCGAGACTAGATTATTGGGCACAGACTTGGTTCAGGATGCTTTGGAGAAGGTCAAGGTGATTCAGGATAGACTCCGTACAGCCTAGTCTAGACAGAAGAGTTACGTGGACCGGAAGGTTCGTGATGTTTCCTATATGGTTGGAGAGCGGGTTCTGCTTCGGGTTTCGCCTATGAAAGGTGTTAAGAGATTTGGGAAGAAAGGGAGGTTGAGTCCGTGGTTTATTGGCCTTTTTGAGATATTGAGGCGTGTTGGGGAGGTTGCTTATGAGCTTGCCTTACCTCCCAGCTTAGTAGGAGTTCATTCGGTATTTCATGTTTCTCTGCTCCGGAGGTATCACGGTGATTCGTCGCACGTGTTGGATTTCAGTTTAGTCCAGTGGGACAAGGATATATCCTATGTTGAGGAGCCAGTGGCAATATTGGGTAGGCAGGTTAGAAAGCTGAGGTCAAAGAACATTGCATCAGTGAAGGTTCAGTGGCAGGGTCAGCCGATCGAGGAGGCAACCTGGGAGACCGAGGAGGATATGCGCAGCCGCTACCTTTATCTTTTCACTACTTTAGGTATGTCTCTATGCTCGTTCGAGGATGAACGAATGTTTAAGTGTAGGAGGATATGACGACCCGGCCGGTCGTCTTAAGAATCAATGCCTCGATCCCCTATTAACTGCTTTCCCTGTGTTTATTTCTGCTATTTTCATTTGTCGGGATGTTCGGTTATTAGTTTCGAAGAGTTTTGGGACACTTAGTCCCTAAATGAGAGCTTAAGTTTGGAAAATTTGACCGTAGTCGGAACAGTGTGAAGACGGCCTTGTAATGGAATTTCGATGGTTCCATTAGCTCTGTTGGGTGATTTTGGGTTTAGGAGCGTGATTGGATTGTGTTTTGGAGATCCGTAGCTAATTTAGGCTTGAAATACGGAAAGTCGAATTTTTGAAGTTTTTGGTTCGATAGTGAGATTTTGATCCGAGGGTCGGAATGGAATTCCGAAAGTTGGAGTAGCTCCGTAGTGTTGAATATGACGTGTGTACAAAATTTCAGGTCATTCGTACGAGGTTTGATAGACTTTTTGATTGAAAGCGTAATTTGTGAGTTTTTGAAGTTTTTAGGCTTGAATCCGATGTTAAATTGGTGTTTTGATGTCGTTTTAAGCGTTCCGAAGGTTGGAACAAGTTTGAATAATGTTTTAGGATTGGTTGGCATGTTTGGTTTAGGTCCCGGGGGCCTCGGGTGAGTTTCGGATGCTTGGCGGAAGTTGAATTTGGACTTAGGAAAATTTTGCATTGCTGAACCTGTCATAACCGCACTTGCGTGTGTGGGACCGCAGGTGCGGTGCCGCAGAAGTAGCTATTTGACCACAGAAGCGGAAAGTTGGTCCAGCTCCAGGAGCCGCAGGTGTGAGAAGTAGGGGTGGGCATAAAAACCGAAAAACCGAATTCCGAATCAGATCGAATTAATTTGGTATTTTGGTTTCGGTTTTTTTCCAGTATTTCGGTCTAATTCGGTACTACATTTTCGGTATTTTGGTACGGTTCTCGGTACGAAGATCTTGAAATTTTGGTATACCGAAATACTGAATTAACCGAATATTTAAAGACTGCATTTTTTGTCCTTAAGAATGAAGACAATGTTCACTGTGAAGAATGAAGACAATTTCTGTTTCTTCCCTGCTGTATATCTAAGCTGATTTTATATTCTTCCACTTACTGCTTAGACAACTAGGTTTTTGCTTCATTCCATGAGATCATAGAGGAAGAGTGACTCGTGAGAGAAACAGGAGTAGTAGCCATGGCTAGCACCAAAGTACAGAAGATTATGACCCAACCTATTAACCTGATCTTCAGGTTTCTTCAGACTAAAGCTCGTATTCAAATATGGCTATTTGAGCAAAAGGATCTGAGGATTGAAGGACATATTATTGGCTTTGATGAGTACATGAACTTGGTTCTAGATGATGCTGAGGAAGTCAATGTGAAGAAGAAAAGTAGAAAGCAATTGGGGCAGATTCTTCTGAAAGGAGATAATATCACATTGATGATGAACACGGGAAAATGATTTCTTGTTAGCTGGATGGCGGAAGAAGTTTGAATTTTTTGGTAAAATCAACTATTGAAACAGTTGGGTTGTGGACAAGGAGCATGATGTTGGATGCACATCTTTGATTTTGGACTTTCATTTGCTTTTTACTATTTGTAAATTCCAAATGGTTTCCTTGAGTCTAAATGTCTAATACTCCATGAATGTCATGGCTCTGACCTCTTTATATAGTGAGGTCCATTTACGAGTAATTGTATGAAAGAAGTTGCTTGATGCCCTAGCTATCAACTCCCAAGTTAGAAGTGCCTTCTGATGCGCTGTTGTGGTAGCAAATTCCTGTTAATTGTCAACCTCCTTGTTCTTTAAAAAAAACCTTACTGCTTAGGCTTGTGAATTGTGATGTTGCACTCCTTAGATCTTAAACTGAATTGTGAATTCATTGTGAATCACTGAATCAGTGAATTGTGAATCACTGAATTGTGCACGGAGAGGCTAGCCAGGCATCGGTTGCACTTTGGTGCTTAACTGCTTACTGTTAGCGTTGTCAAAGAGGGATGTTGCACTCCTTTGTCCTTAATCGTTAGTGTTGCTTATTTAGCGATTATTAAACCGAAACCGTACCGAACCAAAATAAAAAATACCAAACCATACCAAAATAATTTGGTACGGTATTTAGGATACATAATTGATAAACCGAATACCGAAATACCGAACCGAAATTCTTAAATACCGAACCGAAATACTGAATGCCCACCCCTAGCGAGAAGGGTAACACACATGCGAGACCGCAAGTGCGGAAAGTCTGTCGCAGAAGCGGAAAGTTGATTTAATGAGAAGTCACAGATGTGATCTTGGCTCCGTAGAAGCGGGACCGCATGTGCGATCCTAGGGCCGCAGATGCGGTTTAACTAGGCAGAACATATAAATACTTGCATTTGTGAATGAGTTATTTTCACCTCTTTTCAAACGGGAAGAAGCCCTGAGGAGCATTTTCAAGGGAGATTTTCAGAGGAATTCGTTGGGGTAAGGTCTTTGGTCCCTAAACTCGTTATTGGAGTGTTTTTTATCATTATAAATATGAAAATTTAAGGAAAATTAGTGGTAATTTGGGGGTTAGGGCTTGACTAATTAGAGGCATTTGAGTGATGATTTAAGGGGCCATTTAAGGTCCGATTTTGGTACTTTTGGTATGACTGAACTCGCGAGAGTGTGAGGATTCTGAAAATGTAAATTCTACCTGATTCCGAGATGTGGCCCCGATGGGCGTTTTGGTCATTTTACCTAATTTCGCGTATTAGCTTAGAATTTCTTTGTAGAATCATCCACTTGAAGTGTTATTTACATTATGAAATTAAATTGAATAGATTTGGGCTATTTGGAGTTGAGTACTCATGGCAAGAGCGTGGTTTCAGATTGATTTGAGCTGGTTCGAGGTAAGTGGCTTGCCTAACCTTGTGTGGGGGACATTCCCCTTAGGATTTGGTATTGTGGTAATTGAAATGCCTTGTACGTGAGGTGACGAGTGCGTACTTGTGCTAATTATTGAAAAACATGTTTCACTAAAGTAGCTTTAATTGTGTTTTCCCTTTCCTGCTTACTCTACTTGAAATTTTAGCCTGTTGTTAGCGTAGAAAAACATGTTAATTGACTTAATTGCTTTATCGCTTAAACTGCCTTGATTGTATTATGTGAAGCATGTTAGGTTAGAATTACTTGTTTTATTCGGTACGAAATTGAGCTTAGTTGAGTATTCTTTGTGTTATTGCTGTGTGTTTTACTTTGGGACTACGAGACGGCATCCCGAGAGATCCCCTGTACATATTTATGATTTGAGCCGAGGTGCGGGATACAGAGAGATCCCTAGCATGTATATTGAGGATACAAAGAGATCCTCGGGATACCAGGCGATCCCTAGCATATTGAGGATACCAAGAGAACCTCGGGATACCAAGAGATGTCGCGCACCCTTTTTCTCGCGAAATCGGGTTTATGACATTTTTGGTTGGGACAACTCTCTCTTTTTGGAAAGGGGGTTTGCATTTTTGAAGATTTGCCACCTAACGAGTTAAGGTGCGTTAGGGCACTTATAGGGTTCATTTACAACTATATTTGGTAACCAGAGACAGGGTAAGGGCTTGAAGTTATCCTAAGGGGAAGGTGTTAGGCACCCCTCAGGATCCATTAATGTGGTTACCGACCAAACAATTTTTGTGAATTTGTACAATTAGAAAATAAACAAGTATGGCTCAAATAGTAGGGGATTTAAGTTTAAATACACAGGCGTTTGAAAAATAATTAATGAAAAGCAAGATTTAAAAAAGAATTACAATCCAAGCATATTTGTGAATGCAAAGGGGGTATCCTAGGTTTGTTTATAATATGGATCACATCAATGCAATACCCGGTATGACACTTCTCAAAGAGGGGCTACATGTGGTATTAACGCACCGGTCATCATATCCATATCTACCATTTCCCGCCCCGTGTAGGTAATTAAAGCGAGGGTTGGTCTCGACCCCTATTACATGTTGTTACCCGTCCCTTCCTATCAGTTCCGGACGAATTTAGGACTCATATCCTATAAAAGGGAGTTCTAGGCAGACCCTCAAGTTTAAAGGTAAAATACTAAGGTGACATATAATAAACAAGTATGACTTCAATTAAGGGGAGCATGGAAGACCAGTGAAATGCTCAGATATACCTCCACATACAGTACACATAAACAACATGACTCATACACAATTAAGGTCTAAATTCAGATCCTAAACATGGTATCTAAGTGATAACAACAGAGTCAGATTTATGACATAACTCAAATAAGAAGTCCTAATCAAGTTTGCCTACTGATTTTAACATGCTGACAGTCAAACAATAATCACAAAGACGGTTCTGATTTTATTTTAAGTTGATTACCTAAGACTTGCCTAAGCGTAAAATAGTATGCAACAGTTACCGGAATTATTAAAACAGTTTGGAAGTTGTTTTACCTAAAGCATACTTTTCTAAATGTTGCAAAGACATGCAGGGATTGTGACCAGTTTTACTTAAACGGGATAATCAAACATGAAATTGTTTTATGTCCTTTTTCATACATCAGTAGTTTAACTAGGTGTCACTGGGCGAATGTGAACAAGATCCTAAATTAGGGTATCTAACGTGCACATATGAAAAATACAGAATGATTGCAGAATTCCTAAAACATGATTTCTAAATACCTACAGAGTTACAACATGACTTCAAGACGTGCAGAAACAACCATTTTATGTTAATGTTGTTATTTAGCCTAAAGCAGGATTTCTAAGTGGTAAAGTGATGCCAAAGGAGATGCTGAAACAGTAAACCTAAGAACATGGTATCTAATGCATGACATGCTTTGAATGATTGATCTTACACATGGATTCTAATACACATATAGGAAATGTAAACCTAAGACATGGTTTCTACCCCTTGATGTCGATAGCATATATAACTATCCTCCCCTTTTCACTAGCCAGCGCCAATACTTGTTTACAACAGATTATTACAGACCAATACTAAAATGAATTAACATAAGTAGAAAAGAAAAAGAAAAAGTAAAAAGCTGCACTATAGAGAGCTTGAAGACAGGCCCAGATTCTCAACACCAGATTAGGACTTCCTCTCTGAGTTATGTAATAAATCACCTCAAATGTCAAGATTGTCCCATAACTTTTCTCATATCTGGGTGTGTCAGAGTTTCCTAAGGACCTCAAGGGATCCCGGGCAGTGCTCACACCCAGATTTCATAGCCAAGATAGAGTAAGTGCAGTATGGAAAGGCCAGCTTTTGTGTGTCAAAGTTCAAATGGAGCTCAAGTCCCAAGGCAATGCTCACATAAAAGGGGCAGAACTTAGTGGTCTAAGAGTAGAGTGAGAGTGCTCGATATAGTTTTGAAGATTTTAAGTAAGAAAACAGTTTTGAAAAAAAAAGGAAGCAAGAAACAGTTTTGAAAAAGAGAGACTTAATTGGAATAATTTTATGCCAAAGTTTAACTGATGAAACCCATTTGAAAGAGCATGCATATCAATCTCAGAACCAAAACAAAGTCAGCATCACACCAAGGACCAAGAATAGTCCAGCAAATACAAGCAAGAGAATGGTATTGGAGGGACAAGTATGGAGCATGTGAGGGCAAACATGTAGTAGGCAGGAACACATACGAGCACATAATCAGAAACTCCTACAGGTTCAGAGGATCAGGGGGACAATAGGGTATTGGATTAGATTAACATATCAACACCAAACAACTAAGACCATGATCGTACCAATCATGGGGTTTTACATAAGAAACATGCACTAAGTATATAGAAACATGTTGATTATTGACAAGTAAAGCATAACTTAACATGTAGAGGGAACTCAGGATCCTAATTACATGTTGAACAAAAAAAATAGTAAATAAAAGCATATCAGAAGTACAAGGGAATTGTAACAGTAATAGAAACATGTTGGTTTGAGGACTGAAATCTGAATTAGAACATACCAGTGAAGTGAATAAAGCAAAAACACAAAGCAGAAATAGGAGAGGCGCAGTAGTTAGCCTTGGCTTGCAGTCGACTAGCTTAGAATAGTAGCAAATAGCACAGAAGAGAGAATAGCGAGTTTATAGTTGTATGTGAGAGAGAGAGAGCTTTTTTTAACTATTGTGTTCGTGTATGTAATGAAAAGAGAAGAGGGTATTTATAATTTGGAAGCTGAGTAAAAATAAGGTAAAGGAAATCAGTCTTCAACAATTAAGGAAGCCACAAAATCAGCAAGTCTTCCCTTAATTAAGGGGTAATTAACCAATGGTAAAGAGCATGACATATTTAAGGAAAGAAAATCAAGTAAGACTTAGGTACAGAGTAGACAACTAGGGGTAAATATACAAGGGTTTAATTAAGGAAACAATTAGTGAAGAATCAGTAAATAACACGGTTAATCAAATAAGGTAATAAAACTAAATAAGGTTGCAAAATATGGAAATAATCGAGAATCAGCATATAGGTATTACCATAGCAAATCAGTGAATCAAGGACTCGAAATAACATTGATTTAAGGAAAATAACATAGATTTCCATGAATAAGCAAATAAGCCAAGTATAAA